GACAAGGAGCTCCTGGCAATAGAGTATGCCCTTGTGAAGTTTCGTGTTCACCTTCTGGGCTCCCGGCCCTTCGTGATCTACACAGACCACGCATCCTTGAGTACGGCGACAAATTCGCCTCACCCCTTCTAAAGTGGGAGAGGTGAGGCGAATTTGTCCTTCTTCGCGGAGTACAACTTCCGCGTCGAGTACAAGCCGGGCAAGCTCAACGTGCTTGCGGACGCCCTCTCTCGGCGTCCTGACTACGCGTTGGCCCACATCACACGGGTGACAACGGATCTATATGATCGGATACGGATGACGTATCGGGACGAAGAGGCTGTCGCGCCTATCGTCAAGTTCCTCACGGCAGGAATGAGCGCGAAGTCCGACTGCCTTTCGTCGCGACAGCGCTCACGGCTCCACCGATATGAGTTGAAAGATGACATCTCTATTACCGGGTGAAGCCTCTATTACCGGGTGGAGCCCAATGAACCTCCACGGGTGGTCGTACCCAACGACGAGGATCTGAAGTTCGATATCCTCGCGGAGGCGCACGACGCACCCTCCAGCGGCCACTTGGGCCGCGAGAAGACCTTTCTGTCGGTCTCTCAGGCCTTCTGGTGGACACACATGTACAAGAGGGTCGCCCGATACGTGAAGACATGCGAAACATGTCAGCGGGTCAAACTCGCAAGGCACTCTTCGGCTCCACTACAGAGCCTGCCCGTACCGGCTGACTGTTGGAAGTTGACTTCATCTTTGGGCTTCCCGCCGACGGGACGGTAACACCGGAATTTTGGTGTTCGTGCGTCGGCTCGGAAAGCCGGCCTCGGATGTGAGACCAGTTTCGCTGCGGAATCAAGTGGAATCCTTTATGGATACCAAGCTGAGCGTTGTCAGCAGGGTCCGCGATGTCATGGCAGCGGCCCAGGATAGACAAAAGGAGTAATTATACAAACATGGAAAGGGAAAATTAAGTGTATTTAAAGTGGGGGACTTAGTGTTACTAGACACGAGGAACCTACCTCATGGCAGTGTCAGCTCTGTCGGCAGCAGCAAGCTGAAGCCTAGTTTCATCGGACCATTTGCAGTCCTGGCCAGACATGGTGCGTCGTACACTATCGACCTGCCTAAGTCAATGACGACGCACCCGACGTTCTATGTTGGACGTCTTATGCGGTACTTTGATCCGCAGGGGGTTGCTGACTCGCAGACCCCTTGGCCCAGCTCCTCGAAACGAGGGCCGGCCACAGACGTCGACGAGGGTGTCGGAGCAGGCACTCAAGCCTTGGTCTGAACGGCAAAGCTGCGGCCAAGACCGTATGCCGGAGGGGCTCCGTACGAACGGGCCCCGGAGCCATACGCCGAGTACGTTGAGTACGCCGGGTACACACCATACGCGTACGTCTGAGAGTGCGCCAAAGGCGGCTACGGCCGTGGCAACAGAGCCTCGATCCGTCGGATCATCCAGATCGGACGAAGAGGCCCATCGGCTCACCCGCAGATGCAGGCTCGCGACCTCACGCTCCAACAGGTCTAGGCGACCCGCAAGACGAGCGAGCTCGCCCTGATTCTCGGCCTGGGCGGCAGCATCACCGCCAGTCCCGAGGTCAAGTGCAATCTCAAGCACGAGGACGCGTTGACGGAGGCGGCAACCTCAGGGCCCTGTGTCGGACCCGCAGGAGAAGCACTCAGACGAGAGTGGCGTTCGGAGGCGCCGAGTATACGAGGGCACCTCCGCCTCTGCTTGACCGGAATGGAGAAGTCCACTTCCACGTGGAGCGGATCCTCCAGGAGCCACGGCGTCGCGGTAAGCGACTGCTCCTCCGGAAGTGTGTGTGTGTGGGGGGGGAGGGTACCCGCTCCTAAAACTCGTGGGAGCCGATTGAACGGCTCCTGATTGACTGCCCGAAGGCTGTCGCAATCTGGGAGCAGAAGCGGCGGCAGCTTTATAAGTAGTCCGGGGCTTCTTGCCCGAACGGAGTACAGACGTTGACGACACTCCGTACCCGCGCGCTCTTCGTGAGCCCTAGAAGCCGTGCGCTTCAGAATGTCCCTTGGCAGCATGCGCTTGCGGACCATGTGGGAATACCGAGCACGAAGATCACGCTGGTCCAGGATGCGGGGCAGCAGCTGATCTTCATGGAGTTCCCGTAACTCCGTGGGTGAGCACTTGAGAGACTCCACCCAGGCCCAGAAAAAAAACATGTCCTCACAAAAACGCCAGGTGGGACAGTTCTCGGGCAGAACCCAGGGGTACCCCCAAAGAGGATAGAGACCGCCCCGGTTCTCGGGCTTCTTACGACACGTAGTGAAGTCCTTAAGAGGGATGCGGTGTGACGCGAGAAGCACACACCGAGCCGCCTCCAAGTTGTCAGCATACAACTGTTCCTTCTGAACAAAGGTACGTTCGTAAATGCCCCTAGAAGTGCGGCCGTCCACAAGGCCACGAGGAGCGACGAGAAGCGCCAGGAAGAGGTCAGCCCCAGAGCTCTCCTCGGGAGGCCAATACCCTCTTGAGTTGATGACAACTCCCTGGCTGACGGGTGCCACCACTGAACCCCCACGCGCACGCTGGGCAGCTTGGAAGTCCTCCTGCTGCTGGTCGAGGTCATCCGTGGTCTCACGGGGCTCAGAAATAGCACTCTCTTTCTATTCCCCCCCCCCTTCTCGTCCTCTTCATCCGAGGAGTCGAAGAGACCCCGATGGGAGTACCGAGCCTCCTTCTCCTCGCGGAGTGGAGACTTAGAAGCCGTACGTTTCTTAGAAGGCTTGGCGCCTTCGGCTTTAGCGGTCTTAGTACGTGCAAGACCCTCGGCAAGCGAAAGATGTTTGCGGGGTTTCTCCTCCTCGTCGTCGCCAGCTTTGGGAGTGCCCTTAGTCTTGACGGCTGGGTTCTCAGAGCGCACAGACGTCCTGGGACCGTGATCACCATGATCACTAGCGAGAGGCTGCACGCTGTCGTCCTTGTGCTCACTGGGCACTGGGCTGTGCCCTCCCGCGGAGCCCACAGGAGCATCGCGAGTGCTCCCGGACTCGGCTTCGTCCTCACTACCCGAGTCGAACTCACGTTCAGCGAACCGAGGGTTCGGACGGTTGTTTGGGGAGGCCGATGGTGACGAACTGCGGCGTATGTTTGCACGTTTGCCCACAGCCGCGTCACCAGTTGAGCCGATCGCCACGGAGGCCACCTTAGTAGCCTCCTGGAGTGCCGAGTCTTTGCCGTGAGGCTTAGTGCTCATGGCTTGCGCCTTCCCGGCAGCAGCCCTGGTGCGTGTCTTCGCACCGCTCTTTGCAGTGCCACGAGGCATGATAACGATCGATGTAGATACCAAGAAGAAGAGCGCGCAACCGCTGCATGAGGCTCTAACTGTAAAGTGGGCCTCCGCCGCGCTCGCGCGGCCAAGTCGATGTATTTCGACTTTGAGAATGAGAGTTTGTGACGCACACTTCTTCATTCTGATTGGTCGGTAAACCAAACCTAAGTAGGGGATGATGTAGCGGGATACGTAGCCCTAAGTGTACCCCTAGCTACATGAAGTGTGACACGTCATACTTCGGGATATTTGGTACAAGGTACCAAGGTCGCCCGAGGACAGCCATTGGCTAATGGCATTGTTTTTTCTATAGGTGACTTATAGTTTGTAAATTTAACTCAATCTTAGCCTACCTATAAATATACTCAGCTTACAGTCTACAGTAAGCTTTGTGTAATCGGCTACCAGGTCGTAGCTCGTCGAGACACTCAGCCACTCTTACGTGGCGTCAATTACTTAGTGAGAAACTCAACGGTTTCCGTATGTCGCGTTGCTTCCACCGCCGGTCTTGCCCTCGGCCAAGTGACAGTGTCCGGTGGCCACAGAAGTCGCCGCTCTACACACGCACCTACACTAACTTACACACGCACGCAGCAACTTCTGAGTTCCTTGGTCTGGCAACTAGTGGTGATCCTCGGAGATCTATGCCAAGCCGCTCGATCGTTATCCCAGGGGCTTTTACACCAGGGGCTAACTCCACTACCCTATTCTTTTGGGGAAACTTCACGACGTTCCGGGCTGCTGATACCGACGACCCTACGGGGCTGCTTATACCCGTCTCTCTGTCACACTCCGATTTCCACCCTACTTATTCTGTCTCGTGACTTACTAACAACTGACTTGTTATTGTTTATCTCCTACAGGCACCAATACCGGCACCTTCGTCTTCTCCGTCTGCGCGAGCACTTGCCTGCTGCGCCGCAAATCTGGAACTGCCAGTCGCTCGCCTTGATCTTCATGCATGCGACACTTCGCCACCCCTTCATCCAGCAATCGCGACTTCTACCGAAAAGACCGCAGTACAGGAACTTGTTCTGGGTACACCACCCAAAAGATCGTCCACCGGTTTGCTCGTTCAGGGCTACTGACTTCTCGGGGAGATCCCTCCCCAGCTGGCTTCACTTCGTCGCCCTCCTTCTGTTCGTTGAATACCTCCTGGTTCTCTCGCTCGCT